TACACAGTCCAGTCACATTAATGTGACCACTACCTACTTTCAACCTCAACGTGAAATAACCGATCACGGAAGGCAGGTGACAGCACATTACAGTGAATTGTATATATAGGATGTCCTAAGGCATCTGAAAGCATTTCAATCGTTGGCGTAATGCAGAAACGTAGCGATTTATCCGACGTCCAAAAGGGCATGATTATAGGCTTTCGGGCCAATGGTGGAAGTATTTCGGAAACGGCTGATTTTGTGAACTGTTCGCGTGCCGCCGTGGTAAAAGTATACCGTGCATGGCAAAATGGCACTATACAAAACAAGCGGCGTACACACATGTGGTGCACCACGGGCCATAGATGACAGAGGCGAACGAAGGCTATGGAGATGCTTTCAGGCGAATAGACGTGCAACTGTTGAGCAACTGACCACCCAGATGAATCAAGGGTCTACCAAGAGTGTATCCTCAACCACTGTTCAGCGAACGTTGCTGCGCATTTGTCTCCGCAGCAGACGCCTGGTTAATGCACCTATGCTGACTGCTGTTCATTGGCGACGAAGGCTGGAATTTGCACGCCAGTACAGTAACTGGATACCCACAGAATGGCAACAGGTGGCTTTTTCCGATAAATCACGTTTTATGCTGCATTCACAGATGGACGTTGGCGTATACGGCGAGAAACGTCTGAAAGCAAACATCCTGCAACAATTGCCGGAAGGCTGCAGGCTGGAGGAGGGAGCACTATGGTTTGGGGAATGTTTTTCTGGCATTCACTGGATGCACTCATCATTGTGGAAGGCACGATGGATCAGCACAAGTACGCATCTGTCCTTGCGGACCATGTCCACCCCTACATGCGAAGGATCTTTCCTCAGACTGATGGCATCTACCAGTAGGACAATGCGAGGTGTCATACAGCTGGCAGTGTATGTACGTGGCTCGATGAGCACCAGGATAAATTTACCGTACTCCCCTGGCCAGCAAACTCACCGGATTTAAATCCAATCGAGAATCTGGGGGACCACCTCAATCGGGTTGTTCGCGCCATGGATCCTCAGCCGCGTAATCTAGCGCAGCTGGCCACGGTACTGAAGTCGGCATGTCTCAACATCCCAGTGAACACCTTCAGAAACCTAATTGACTCTCTTTCTGCATGTCTCGCAGCGGTTCGCTCTGCCAAAGGTGGTAATTCTGGATTTTGACAGGTGGTCACATTAATGTGACTGGACTGTGTATATATATATTCCTTAGGAAATGTTCTTGAACTTTCAAAATGATAAACTAATACAAATGATGGATAGAGATTATTTGCCAATAATTTTTTAAATGAGCCGAATACATTTGGTTTTGGAATTTATGAATTTTTCGATAATTCCATCAACCATAGGCTAAAATCATTCAATTGGGTACTTGTAATTCAAGAAGAAGAGGAATATCACGAAAATCCACGGTTGTACTTGTTGTTTCAACGTTACAGTTGTTATTAAGGCTTGGTTTATCACACTGAATCAATTTTCGGATCGGATTTGATTACATGCCTGCGAGCTACGTCACGCTTGTGTGTCAAACTTGATTGGTTTCTGAATCCTGGCATCAACAAATGGTACGATTTACCCACGCGTGACGTCGATTGCAGCTATCAATTGTGATAAATTAAATGTGAAGTTATAAATCAAATAATTAACATAATATTAATTCGAGT